CTTTCGAATTGACCCTCAAACTCCAACGATGATGCTACCTACTCACTAATAGTGGGATAGAATTGTCTAAAGGAAACAAATATAGAACGATTCCTTTTTCGAGTAGGTAGATTAGTTCTTAGATACTTGCTCAATCAAAACAAAACTTTTTCACACTTACACTCTTTTACAAACAAAGTTTTCAAAAAACACTTCATTACACTCTTAAAGACAGAAGCAAGAGTTAAATCAAAGTTAAAACAAAAACTTTTCAAAGCCCACAAACACAAAGAAAACAATTTTGAAAATGATGAGCAAGTACCTAAGAGCCCGTAGATAACTACAGATAGAAAGGGTGCTAATACCTTCCCTTTCTATAATCTACCCCCCGTACTCATAAATATCTCGAAAAAGGAATTTTTCTGTGCTTTTTTCCTTTTCTTGTTGGATAAAATAAAAGTAGGTGGCGACTCTTGCTTACCGCGACATTTTGCAAACACAAACACAAAATTTAAACCAGCATTCCAAAAACAGTCAGTTCTTCCACCGTATCACACCAAGTATCATTGCGTTCGATGGCCTTAATTTCTTCATTCATAGAATTCTTCCAATTTTTGTTTCTTACTGCTTCGTCGAAACTGACATCTTCAGTGTCTGTCAACAAACATACGAGATGCACTTCTTCTGTGTTTTCATACAAGTCTTGTAAACCTTATAGCCTGGGCTGTTAGATTCCATCTTCATCATCAGAGTCTTCTGGTTCTGTCGAAGTGTTTTTCGATATAGCACCTGGTAATTCGACCATAACTTCAGTCGAATTGATCCAATCCCACTTGCTTCCTTCGTTTACTCGAACATCTCTACTCACTATCACCTTTTTGTTTATTGGGTTGAAAAGTCTGTAACCTTTCGTTTTCTCATCATACCTAATGAGTATGTATTTCTGACTCTTATCTTCCAGCTTTATTCTTCTTTGACCAGGTACATGTGCATAAGCCACACTTCCAAACACTTTGAAGTGAGACACAATTGGCTTTCATCCGCTCCAAGCTTCTTGAGGTGTTAAATCTCCAAACTTTGAATGTGGACATCTATTCTGATCATAGACTGCACATTGTACAACTTCTGCCCAAAATTATGTTCCTTCTCTTAAGCATTGATCGAACCATGTCGAGGACTGTTTGATTCTTTCTTTCGGCCACACCATTTTGTTGAGGTGAGTATGTTGCAGTCAGAAATCTATGTATGCCTCGCTCTTCATAGTACTTCATAAAGGTTGTCGAAGTATACTCCCCACCTCTGTTTGATCGAAGAGCTTTAATGTGCTTTTCTGTTGCTTTCTCCACCATTATCTTAAACTTCTTGAATACTTCGAAGGCTTCTGACTTTTCTTTCAAAAAATACACTCAAGTTTTCCTTAAGAAATCATCAATAAAGGATATAAAGTACTTTTTGCCACTGAAGGATTCTGGGGTAATTGGTCCATATATGTCAGTGTGAATCAATTCCAGAATTTGTTTAGCCTGATATTCTGCCTTTCTTTGAAATGAGGTTCTCGTCTGTTTTCCAAACACACATTCTTCACATAACTTTCCTTCGAAATTCTACGTCTGGCAGTCCATGCACCATATTTTTCTTTGCTAACCTCCTTAGTCCAGCCTAATATAGATGACCAAAACATAGATGCCATAGAGATGCTTGGTCTTCAACATTGGCTTGCAAACACTTTTCTTGAATGCTTATTAAATTCAACTTGTACATTTGATTTCTCCCCATTTCAACTTGAGCAACCAGACGCCCTGTCTTGTCTTTTAAGTGCAAGCTTCGATCTTCCATGAGTATCGAATAGCCCTTTTCTGTGAGTTGCCCCAGACTCAAAATATTTGCTTTGAGGTTTGGTACATAGTACACATCTTGGATTAATCCTATCAAATCATCCTTCTGCAAGAAACTGATTGTTCCTTTTCCTTCGACCCTTACTTTCGACGCATCTCCAAAGGAAACATGACCATCCTCAATTTTCTTTATTTATTTGAACAAGTGCTTATGACCATACATATGGTTACTTGCTCTTGAGTTCAGGTACCACATAGTGTCATTTTCTGCATCTGCTTCCTTTTGAGTCATTAACAAAAATCCTTCATTCGATTCTGTTTCTAGGGAAAGATTTGTTGTTTCTTCTATCTTTCTTCTAAGTTGACAATCTTTTGCAAGATGTCCAATTTTACCACAGTTGTAGCAACTATAGGAGTTGCAATATTTCGCATAATGCCCTTATTTGTTACATTTGTAACATTCGATATTGTTGTAATTCGACCTACCACCTCTCTGGCCATGTCCTCTGCCACGCCAGTTTTGTTGGCTTGATTTTCCTCTGTCGAAGTTATTATTTTGGTAGCTTCGACCACCATTACATCCTCCACGGCCATGTCCTCTGTCACGCAAATTTTGAGAGAAAAGTTCCTTTTTGTCTCTGTTGGGTTCTGCATCCTCAAGTATCTTCTTCTTCTTCTTTATTTTACGTTGTTCATGTGCCTCAAGTGAACCAGTGACTTCTTCGACAGTGATTGTCGAAAGATCATTCGCCTCTTCTAGTGCGCATAATATATTTTCGAACTTGTCTGTCAAAGATCTCAGAATCTTTTCAACAATACGAGCATCAGTCATTGCTTCTCCATTTCGATTGAGTTGATTTTCTACTGTCTGCACACGAGTGGTGTAGTCCGACACGGACTCTGTCTCCTTCATCTTTATTCTCTCCATTTCTCCTTGAAGAGTCTACAAGCGAACTTGCTTGACTTTATCTGCTCCTTTGAAAGCCTTTTCTAGCATGTCCCACGCTTCCTTCGATGTAGTCGAACCAGCAATCTTTTCAAAAACTGATCCGTCGACTGCTCTGAACAGCATGTACAATGTCGTTTTATCATTTGCTCGCGTTTCTTTCAACGCCTTATTCTGAGCAGTTGTGATTGTCGTCGTATCTGATGGTTCTTCAAACCCATCGTTAATTACTTCCCATACACCTAACGATCCCAAAAGCGCCTTCATCTGAATACTCCAGTTCTCATAATTCGATTTTGATAGTCGTGGCAGTGGCATTTGACCCATCATATTTGCCATGCGCTCTGATACCAATTTGAAGAGAAAATGGGAGTGGACTTTAAACTTGTTTTCTTTATATAAAATTGTCCAACTGAATTTTGATATGAGTACAAAGTGATTTATATAGTAGATATTACAAGATAGAATATTAAATGTTACATCATTAACTATTTCTAGGTCCCAAAGGAATAAACTTCCCACTGTGCAAAGAGAATTTGTCTTTTGCATTATCCAATGCAAATTTGAATTTAACCAACAATTTTGATGAGTTTGATTGTAGGATCATATGGTGTTGAAACATGTTTAGAACTTACAAATCCAGAGTCTTCTAAGAGATCAAGACAATACTTCATTTGACATAAAGAAATTCCAGACTTTAAGTGTGCAACTTCAATGCTTAAGAAGTATTTAAGTTTGTCTAAATCCTTGATTTTGAATGTGGTGTGCAATGCTTCTTTGATAGATTTGAGTTCATTCAAATCATTTCCTGCAAAAATCACATTATCCCCATAAACTAATAAAATTGTGAAAGAAGAATTGTTAGTCTTGACAAACAATGAATAGTTTGATCCAACTTGTTTGTAGTGGTGTTCAATGAGAAAGTTGGTAAGTCTTTCATGCCATACCTTCTAGTTTGTTTAAGTCCATAAAAGATATTTAACAAGCTTACAATCTCGGTTGGGATTTGAGGTTTGAACACTAGGAGGTACCATAATGTATACATTCTCTTGGAGTTCACCATGTAAGAATGAATTATTTACATCCAATTGATGTAAATGCCAAAGATGGAGAGAAATTAAAATAATAACAATTCTTACAGTGGTGAACTTGGAAACAAGTGAGTAGGTATTAAAATATATTGCTTGCCTTCATTCATATCATAACTAATACATAAATAGTACTCTCTTTGGCTAGAATCCAAGAGACTTTCTAGCAAACTATTGGTGACTCACCACCTAGAATTATCACGTGAGTTATGGCAAAGCAAATACAATATCCTCTAGAATCCTTAAGCTTATTTTCTCCCACCTTTCCTCCACTTAGGGACCACATAATCATTGAGATGTTTGGGCCTACCACAGTTTCTTTTGGCCTTAAGTTTAGGAACTTTTTCTTATGCTATATCTAGAAAAAAACCCCAATCTTCTTGCTCTCCCTCTTTAGTTTGCTTCATAACAAGCATCTTTAGTGTATGCTATTTTAATGCAAATGTAGGCCTTATTTGTGCCCTTAGTATTGAACTTAGTGGGATAATGTTTGCTATCCTTTAAAGAATGACACGATCTCTGGCTAAAAAATGACTCTGAATTAGTTTCTTTAACCTTTAAAAACAATGCATCGATGTCTTAACCTTTAAGAAACATATGGTTTAGGTGTTCACATCTAATTGGTTCCATGAACTTCATTGTTTCTTATATATTAAGGGAAGATAACTATTATATAGATAAATTAATTAATATTAATTTAAGAAATATGTATAATACTTGGTGGTATGATATACCTCTTCTTTTAAATAAAAAAATTACTATTTAGGGTTTTGCATTCCTTTTCTTAAAGGGAAAAACATTAGAACTAGTAGGAATTCCTTTTCAAGAGTATAATCATTCAATATGCACATGAACTTTGTTGTAGGCTCTTTAGAATATTTTGTAATTAAAATACTTACAAATTGTTATTCTTCAATGAAATTCAATTTTGAATATAAACTCATAATATTTTATTTAAAAGATAATTTTATTCCAAGCTTTGCACTAATCAAGTCTCATGTTTATTACAATTGTAGCTCATCAAACACATTTTTAGTTCAACTAATTATAGAATCACATTGAATTTGACACCATGATTTTGTAAAAGTTTCAAAGTGTAGCTTGAATAAAACCACGATAGTTCCTTGCGATTATGCCAAACTCATTGCGAGTTTAAACATACACCTTTGCGAGTAGTTTCTTGAACCAATATGCTGACAACTTAGGGGTTCTCTTGAGAGATTTGAAGTTAACATAGACAATACCAAACCTTGATGTATACCCTAATCTCCATTCAAAGTTATCAAGTAATGACCATGCATGGTATCCAACCACATTTGCTCCATCATCAACAGCTTTCTTTAGTTGACTCAAATAGCCTTTGTAATATCCTATCCTTGTTGTGTCATGCAAACCTTTGGCAAATGTCACATTACCCGGATCATCCATACCTAAAAATCATTAACTTTAAGTTACATAACATCAAAGCCATAAAAGAAAACCAATGATTAAGACAAAAAAAAGCATTGAAAGAAAGCTTTAAAAAACTAGGTTCAAGTGTTACCATTTTCAGATAAGAGCACAGTTGGGTTTCCATAATGCTCCTTGATGTACATTAAGCATTTGTACATGCCACTTGGTACATTGTAAAGCCAAGATGAATATGCCTACAAAGTTCAATGTAGAAATATTTAATTAACTGCATGATTTTTGCACTAGTTTTTTTAATCATGGCTAACTTTCACTTGTTTCAAACTTACCCTTGGTCCAATAGGTACTCCATTCTTAGCATCTTCAATGTTAAGCAAGAAAATCAATGTAAGTAAAATAGCAATAAACAAGAAAAGTATTTCAATAAACCATTAATTTTACACATTTTAAAGTATAAATTAAAAAGAGTGTTATTTAGAGAAAATTTGAAGGAAGGGTTATCTTACAAGCAAATCCTACATTCCAATCACTTTGATAGCCAGGAACTTTTGGTTTTGATTGATGAGGATCATACATGTAGAAAGAAGTATATTGATTGATACCAACAAAATCAATGGAACCCTTCACAATTTTCACTTCTTCTATAGTGAACTTTGGGAGTCTCTTCCCAACAATATTTTGCATGGTTTTTGGATACTCACCATAAACTATGGGATGAATGAACCTGCGGAATTAAAGAGCTTAAGTATATGAGCATGCATTGAAGAGTTTAATGAAGCATAAGTTAAAGATTTTTTACCATCCAATATGAAAGTCTCTAGCTCTTTGAGCAGCATAGTTATCAGCCTTTGATCTCGTAAGAGGCTCATACCAAACAAGATCCAACAAAATTCCAATCCTGCCCTTTTGCTTTTCCTAAAACAACCACAATCACCACCACCACATAAGAATATCAAATGAAACACTTAATGCACAGTGAGTTCGGCGAAATCATGATGATACTTGTGATACCACAATACCATCGTGATTCTCCCAAACTCATTGTCAATACAAACACGCGGTTAATATAAAAATACGCAAAAATACTGATATTACTTGGTAGTTTTGTCTGTATCTTTGAACGGCAGCAGCATGCGACAAAATCAAATTATGAGCAACAATGTAAGGCTCAGTTCCTGAATTTCCAACGGTACAATTTCCATATTCTTTAGAACATCTTCCAGGGGCATGAAGGCCATTATCATAACCAAGAGCCGCAATAACTCTCGGTTCATTAAAAGTCATCCAATTCTTAACTCTATCTCCAAATGTCTTGAAACAAAAATCCGCATAATCTGCAAAATCTTTCCTGCACAATTTTGAAACATTATAGCTTAATTAGGGTTTAAAAAAAATTTTCATAGCCATAAGGGTATTTTAGTACTTACACAACATTATGGCTCAATAAGCCATTATATCTCAACTCAAGAGCTAAAGGAAGATCATAATGGTACAGATTCGCATAAGGAGTAATGCCTGCAAAATTGTTTTAGGAACAAAAAAAAAAAGAATTAACCTAAAATTAAATTTCTAAAACTATATATGTAATTTATATATGTACCTTTTTCTATCAAGTAATCAATTAATCTGTTGTAATATGCAACACCTTTCCAATTTACTTTACCAGTTCCATCTGCATCACCGATTTAATTTATTAATTGAGTTTAAAAAATTGTTCATCTTGTTTTTATGAAAAATGAGCAATACAAAGATTTGAATTACTTGGAAAAATTCTGGACCATGAGATTGAGAAACGGTATGCATCAAAATTTAGCCTTGCCATAAGATCTACATCTTCCTGTAAAATTAAAAAAAAAAACTAAAATATAGTGTATAATATTTTTAATAAATATGTCAAGAAACATTTTAAATGATTTTACTTACTTTGTAGCGATGATACTGATCAACAGAAACCTCTCCTGTACCATTATTTTCGACAATCCCTGTGATGAATGGAACAATTAATATTAGACCAAATTATATTAAAAAAAATATTTATTTTAATTATTTTATTCAAAATATATAAATATATTGTAAAACACAATTTTTGGATGAATTAAGAATAATGAATGGAGATTAGGTAAGAAACACAAACCTGGTTTCTTGATGAACTCGTCCCAAATACTAGGGCCACGACCATCTTTGCTGGCCATACCCTCAACTTGATAAGCAGAAGTTGCAACACCAAACACAAACCCTTTAGGAAACCCTTTTCTCAATCCTCCAATATCAAAACGCAACGGTTGAGGCACATCAACTCCATTAACTGAGCTAGCAACAATCAAAAAAGAGAAGAAAACCATGAAACAGAACCACTCATGATGTTTTGAATCCAACATCATCATTTTCTTCAAACAACAACAATAACACCAGTGAAGAAAAAGACTGAGCGAGGTTTGTTTTTATAGCGCATGTTTGTGGTCAATTCCAATTCTGTCAAAATACTAAATTTTAGAAATAAATTTAATACGTCGTTTTGGATATGAATTATAATTATGGCACCCATACGTGGACATGCGTGTAACCCTATCAAATATAATGGTGACAACTACACATTAAAAGTTAATAATGATTTTATAAAATATTTATTAAGATGGTTTTTATGAAAATTAATTTAAAAATAATAGAAGTTCTTTTAATTTTTTTTTTTATAAATTAAAAGAGTGATTTTATATAATATTTCAATTATTTATATAATATAAAAATGGTTAAGTTATTCCACTAAACCATTAACTCTCACTAATCATCACTAACCAATAGTGCAAGAATCGCATAAATAGAAAAGAACATTTTTGTTATTATTATTATTAAATCTCTGTATATAGAAGACTGATAAAAGTGTAATTAATAATACTTACTTATATGTTTGTATAAATTTTTAAAAAAGGAAATGTTTATTCTCATTAAATATTATTTCACTAATTTATTTTATTTTTATGGGGCAAAAAATAGAGACTAAACTAGACAATTTTTTACTCTATTTGATGCAGAAATTAATCACATGATTGGAACAAAGATATGGACAAAATATATTCCCATTAAATTATGAGACAATATTTTGTCTCATTATCAAAAAAATATTAAAATACAATTTTTAACCTCTCTAATAATATTTTAAAAATTAGATCGAACCGACTAATTCAATCGGTTGGATTGAGAATTGGAGAAGAATTCAGTTGAATTAACTTTTTAAAATCGCTAATAAGTCAAAATTGAAGTAAAATAAAATAAAAAATCAGATTAAACCGTCTAAAACCATTCGAACTAGAGTCCATTAAAAAAATGCATAAAATTGATCATTATTTTTTAATATTTTAAAAAAATTTAATATATCAATATCAAAATTTAACATACATTCCTCAATCACAAAAAAGAATTTTGTGTGTTTTTTATAACTATACAAAGTTTTAAGTTTTGTCATTCAGATACAGTTTTTCTTTCAACTATAATCCATCATCATCACCATGTCGTTTCTTTCAAACATAGTCACGCTATCCAACTCAATATTGGTTGTTGTTCTAGTCAATATTATTTGTTGTTGTCAGTTATGACTTATTTGTCGTAGTTTAATTCAAATTTGTTTTTGTTATTTAATTAAATATATTGTATTATTTATTTTTGATATTCTATCTTATATAATTTAGGTATTCTTTGTTGGAAATACACCAAATATCTATGATGAATTTCTATCAATCTTGATGAACAAGATTGATATTACCACACAATGACAATGAATTATGAGAAAAGAAAAGAAACGAAAGAAGACAATTATTTTTTGCAGAGTTTCTCTAAGCCCACAAATTGTAGAAAATATTGTTATTCACTTGCAACTACAAATTCTGTGAATACAACTTAATTGACTTAATTACAAAATTAAGGGTTACTCCCTCTATTTATAGATTTAGGTTAGCCAAAACCCGAAACTATAAAAGCCCAAAATATTTATTTTAGATCTAAATCAAATCTATCTAAATCTAAAACAAATCAAATCTGTGGGTAGCTTGCTTCGATCCACAAGCTATTCGACTGAGCAATGGCTTCCTTCGAGCAATCTACTTAGATCCACCTCTAAACCCTTCGATACACATAGTTTCAACACAACCGAATTACAATTTAACACACCATCTAATTCATTATGTCTAAACTATCTATATTTATTATGGTTCTTAGTTTTCTGAATACTTCGACTTGCACTCCCTTCGTCATGATGTCGGCAATCTGATTCTCAGTTCTGCAGTGTTCCAAATTCATCTTCCCATCTGCTACCTGCTCTCGAAGATAGTGGAACCTCATTTCGATGTGCTTGCTTCGACCATGTGCTATCGAGTTCTTCGCCAGATTGATAGCTGACATGCTCTCGATCTTCATGGTAATTGCTCCATGATCTTTCCCTGTTATCTCTTCGACCAAGTTCACCATCCAAGTTGCTTGAAATGCCCCAAGAGAAACAACTATGCATTATGCTTCACATGATGATAATGTCACTACTGGTTCCTTTCTTGAACTCTAAGAAACTGGTCCACCACCTAACATAAACACATATCCTGCTTTTGATTTTTGATCTTCAGCATCACTACAACAACTCGAATCAGTGTATCTTACTAACTTGCATTCTTTTCCTTTATCAGTTGCAGGAAACAAAATGCCATAGTCGAGAGTTCCTTTGATATACCTTAGTATCCTCTTCACCGCTGCTAGATGTGATACCTTTGGCTTCTGCATGAATCTACTTACCATACCTACACTATATGCTAAGCCATGTCTTGTATGACAAAGGTATCTCAATGACCTAATAAGTCTTCTATATTGGGTTGGATCGACATCATCTTCATCTGGATCTTTAGACAGTTGCAGTCTTGGTTCTGTAGGTGTCGAAGTTGAGTTGCATTCTTCCATCTCAAATCTCTTGAGAATTTCTCCTGCATATCTTCTTTGATACATCATCAAACCTCTACTACTATTGTAGAATTTGATGCCAAGGAAATATGAAATATCACTCAGATCAGACATTTCGAATTCCTCGCTAAGATCACCATTGAAGTCTTCGATCTCACTTTTGCAGTTACCTGTTATCAACAAATCTTCGACCTAAGGACATAATATAAACAATTCACTATTGCTTCTTCTTACATATACTCCATGTTCAGTTGTGCACTTCACAAATTCTTTCTCCATTAGGAAACCATCAATTTTCTTATTCCAAGCTCTTGGAGCTTGTTTCAATCCATACAGGGCTTTATGCAGCCTGTACACCTTTCTCTCTTCGTTATGTTTCACAAACCCAAATGGTTGTTTAACATAAACTTCCTCGTCTAAGGGTCCATTCAGGAATGCAGACTTCATGTCCATTTGTCATGTGTGCCATCTGTTTATTTCTGCAAGACCAACAACCAACCTGATTGTTTCGATCCTAGCAATAGGTGCAGAAACTTCATCGAAGTCTATTCCTTATTTCTGTAGAAATCCTTTCGCCACAAGCCTTGCTTTGTGTCGAGTTACTTCCCCTTTGGGATTCATCTTCAATCTGTATACCCACTTGACATCAATTTCCTTCTTGCCTTGAGGCAATTTGACAAGTGACCAAGTGTTGTTGTCTTTGATAGACTTCACTTCTTTGTTCATTGCTTTCACCCACTTTGAATCCTTCAATGCTTCAGCCGCATTGACAGGTTCGACATCTACATAGAAAGTATAATGTACCAACTCACCTTCATTATCTATCACATCATCTAATGTAATCACACAATATTGCAATCTTGCGGGCATGCGTCTTATTCTTTGAAGTCTGCTTGTACTTGGTTGATCTATAACTGCTGGTTTCTCTTGTCGAAATTCTCTTTCGACTTGAGTTTCTAGTTCTTCAAGTAGGATTCCCACTGAATATTTCTTGACATTTTCATTCAAATCCTATTATTTAAGCTCATCTATGATCACGTCCCTGCTGATCACAATCTGCTTGTTCACTGGATCGAACAACTTGTAACCTTCTGTCGAATGATATCCAACTAGAATCATTTGACTTGGCGTGTCATCAAGTTTTCTTCTCAACTGATCTGGCACATGTCTATGTGCAATATATCCAAATACCTTCATATGACTCAAGCTAGGCTTCACACCAGACCAACATTCTTCAGGAGTAATTCCTTCTAGCTTCTTCGTAGGACATCTGCTCATAATATATGTTGCAGTCGAAACAGCTTCACCCGAAAACTCTTTAGGTAAATTCTTGCCTTTCCACATACTTCTCATAGTATTCATGATGGTTCAATTCTTCCTTTCTGCAGCTCCATTATGTTATGGAGTATAGGGAGGCACCACCTCATGCACAATCCCTTCCTTTTTACATAACATGTCGAAGTCTTTTGACACATACTCTCCACCACCATCAGTTCTCAAAACTTTGAGTTTTCGACCACTTTGTCTTTTGACCATATACTTAAACTTGGAAAATACCTTGATCACTTCACTTTTCTTCTTGATCAGGCAAGTCCATAACTTTCGACTGAAATCATCTATGAGTGTAACAAAGTATTTGTTACCTCCCATCGAATCCACCTGAATTGGTCCACATACATTAGAGTATATGACTTCAAGAATAACCTTCGACCTGCTTCCTGCATCCTTGCTGAAGCTATTCTTGTGTTGCTTCGCCTTCACACATTCTTCACATACCTCATTTGGAATGTCGATTTCTAGCAATCCTGAAACCTTATTTCTTCTCCTCAAATTTTTGATGTATCTGAAGTTGAGATGACCTAGTCGATTATAATTCCATATCCATTCATGTCTGTTAGCTATAGTCGAAAGGCACTTGTGCTCCATCACATTTAGTTCGATCTTGAAGGTTCTATTCTGAGACATAGGAGCCTTCAAGATTAATCTTCCATTTGCATCGATGACTCTCATCATCTTATCTTTCATCGAAACTTTATAATTATTTTCGACCAACTTCCCTATACTGAGTAAATTGCTCTTCATGTCGGATATGTACAACACATTGGAAATTATTGACCTCTTGCCATCTTTTATCATAATCATAACATCCTCAATACCTTCAGTTGCTAGGATATTATCATTTATGAATTTTACCATATTTTTCATTGAGGGCTTTGTGTTGATAAATCAGTCTTTCCTTTCAGACATATGTGATGAGCATCCTGAATCCAAGTACCATTGGTCCTTGAATCTATCTTCATCTCTTGTTGTGACCATCAACATCATCTCTCCTTCTTCATGTTTTGCAAACTTTGCATCACTTTCTTGATTCTTTCGCTTTTCTGGACAATCACTCGAATAATGACCATACTTTTGACAATTGTAACATTGAATGTGACTCTTGTCAAGT